CAAACTTATTTTTTTTGGTTAGTATTGAAATTCAATTTCTTAGCTATTAGTCATTCATAGCATGCTTAACAGGGAAGTACTTTTATTGTATTGATTTTAAAAGCTAAAATTCCAGAAAACCCAATTAAAGCCTTTATTTTATCTAATTGTGTATATTTCTGTTCTACAGACCTATGGAGCGTTATTCTGTGAAACAAGTGCCAAAGATGGTTCCAACGTCGTGGAAGCTGTTCTCCACCTTGCTCGGTAAAGTTTGGCCTTGTATTTGGAAAACCAGATGTAGGATTGAATTTTTACCAACTTTCTTGACCATGATGTGCTGTTAGACTATACATTGGAAAACACTGGCTAGTCTTTCAGTCATGGTAGGAGAAACAAATACGTACGGATGTTATAAAAACTGGTAATGCTACTGAGAACATTGGCAAAATACTTTTACTGCCAAACAAAACAGGTGCATCTGAGGTGCAGTTGACATTTCTGCAAAATGTCACCACAAAGCTAATAGTTGATTTGTATGAACCATTTCCAGGAACCAGATTTTAAACACAAGAGACTAGTATGAATACAACTATCTACTATGACATTTTCGTGGGAAAAAGAGGGGGAGACCCTACAAAGCAAATTGTATATCCTGCCAGTCGGAAATACTTTGTCAAAATTATTACCTAGGTAATTATTAAGCTAAGGCAATGGTGTTAAACAATAAATAACATTTTTGGATGTAGATTAGAATGAAAATGGCATCATTAAAGAACTTGGATATAAATGTGTGTCTTTTAATCCTTGAGGTAGTCTCCGGAAATAACATCATTATCTGCTAGAGTTTTCTCTTCTGCCTAGTTTTCTGCTATAAATGAAAAGATGATTCTTTACTGGCCTAAAGGGATTAAATAGAAGGGGAAAAGGGGAAAAATCAAAACATGCATCAACAAAATTCAGGACAGTGATCTTTAATTGCAGACAAAGTTAAACCGTAACTTTTGCCAAGTCATTCTTTTTCTGATTATTTATGGGATTTTATAAGAATCTTAACTTTAGTGTGATAATTGGCCTCTTCTGCTGGTAAACATTGACAGTTAAAATACTTTGCGCTGTCTTTAATACTACTTTTCAGTTAATGACTTGATATTTATAGTGCCTAATAGAAGAGAATTCTGTTAATAGAATGCTTGGATTAGGACCTTGGGATAGACCGTTGCCCTCACTTGGGAGAATCAGGAAACAGATCCCAGGACTTTAGGTGGCCTGCTGGGCATTAATTTGTAGCAGGGCTTGGCAGATGCCCTTGGCTTGCACTCAGCATCTTTGAACATTTTCCACTTGGACATCAGTCCAAGAGAAATAGCCACCTCTCCCCACAACATTGGAAATCATTTTTGTTTAAAAACAAAAACAGGCCAGGCACAGTGGCTCACGCCTGTAATCCTAGCACTCCGGGAGGCCGAGGCGGGAGGATCGTTTGAGCTGAGAAGTTCGAGACCAGCCTGAGCAAGACTGAGACCCTGTCTCTACTAAATATACAAAGAAATTAGCTGGACAACTAAAAGTATATAGAAAAAATTAGCCGGGCATGGTGGCACATGCCTGTAGTTCCAGCTACTTGGGAGACTGAGGCAGGATTGCTTGAGCCCAGGAGTTTGAGGTTGCTGTGAGCTAGGCTGACACCACAGCACTCCAGCCCAGGCAACAGGGTGAGACTCTGTCTCAAAAAAAATAAATAAATAAAAAATAAAAACAATGCTAACTTTGAGGGTGACCTAAAACAGTATGAAAAAAAGGCAAATATTTAAACATGTATAGAATCAACTGAATTACTTGTTTTTTTGCCTGTGATTAGTATTAATAGAAGAATCATGGGCTAATATCAACAATTGTCAAAAAAGAGCCGGAGTAAAACCTTTATACATTGGGTCACATACCAAATTTGACACACTTGTGGGTGCATAGGCAACACCCATCGTTTTGGCCAAAGCAGCTACAATCGGTACAGTGGGGAGGGATTCCGTGAAATGCAGTGTGTGACTTCATTGGAGATGGAGTCATTGCTGAATGGGCAGGTGTTTTCGCTTTTTCAAATGGTTGTGTTGGTGTTTCATTGCCGTGAGGACTTCCTGGATGGAAGCGGTGTGGCTGCTGGGGCGGATGGCAGCGGGGAAGGACCTGCAGGTCTTCGGAGCGCCACGGGCTGCCTCAGCTCAGCCTTGGTCCGCGGAGCGCTGAGTGCTGCGCCCACACGGCAGTAGGGGACGCCGCGGGTCAGGCCCCGCGTGTGGTTGCCAGCTGCTGCCCAGCACGTTGGAGGATTGCAGAGTCAGGAGACTTCAAGTCCGTTTTTAAATCTACCCCTAAATGCCTATAGAGTCTTGAACAACTCTCATCTTACTTTTGGCATCTCTCATCTGTAAAATGAAGGACAGGGGCCGGGTAAAATGGTCCCCACCAGGGTCCTTTCTAATTCCAGCAGTCGGGGGTTCTGTGTGGTAGCTGTCCACCACTGAATACCATAAGCACTATTTAATGCTCTGCTGTCTCATGGGGTCCTATTAAAGCTAAATGGCTCCAAAGTGCTCTGGTCACACCCGGAGTGCAGAATCGATCCTCTTTATTGTGTCGTAAAGAGGGGTGAGGCCGTGAGCCGCCGGCGCCTTTCCCCCATCTACTCCTGGGCGGCGTGTTGAGTCAGCCAGGCACCGGCCCTATTTGCGGTGTAGCTTAGACACCGGCTTGTGTTTGTTTACTTAAAACAACTGGTGTGCAAAGGCATTTTGGTGAGGAGGTCACTTCCACTGTGTAATGGGCAGGTCACAGTTTTTTTAAGGTTTAGACAAAGAAATATGATAAGCTTTTTGTGACTCACTTTATCATGGAGTTTTTTTTTTATTCTTATTGCATTATGGCCTGGTTTGGGGCCTTTGGTGATATTAGTGATAAATATAAGAATTATAATGAAGCACGTCTGTAAAGACTTTAATTGCTTTACACTCTGCCTTCAGATTTGCTTATCAAAACACCGAAGTCTCAAATGGAAATACTACAGTCTCCACAGGTAAAATTATCATTTTAAAAAGTTTTGCAACCTTTAGAAAGTTATGTATAATGCAAAACATGTACACTCTGAATTTAGATCTCATAGAGTGATCCCAACACAGTCCCTTCTGCACCATGCAATGTCATAAAACTTGGTCCAGAAGAGTGTATGGGTTTGCACTGTGTGAAACAATTTGTTTTTGAAGGGAGGCCGTCAACGTTTTGCTAACAACCTGAGCGACTCTGCTTTTTCTTGGAAAACCTCTCAATCCCAGGAGAAGTTTCTCCTAGAAATGCAATTCCCTATAGTGCTGATAGTTCATCTCTCACAGCCAGCGTCCCATTAATAAGTCCATTTGCCATCACCAGAACCACAGGCTTTAAACATTTTGCAATGGATTCAAGTTCAACAGGCATATTTGATCACCCAATGCCTTGAAATTGGAGAAAAATACAAAAAGCTCAGACTGATGTATTAATACCAGTTCAGCGTAAGAGCTGAGCCCTTTGGTGTAAATCCGTCCATGAGACTGAGTCATTTAAAATGCAGTTGTTCAGGGGATGGTACTTTTTAGTCAGGTGACTTAATTTTCCCAGCCTTAAGTCTGCTTTCGATCTTTGGAATTGTATTTCTGATTTTCTTAAAGTGAAGCATGCCTGCATTTTTGGCAGATTAAAGAAACTGAAGGCTAGATGAAAGATGTGGGTGTATATTTTTCCTGCTTAATATTTGCGTTCAGGTTTAGCACTGTCTGCATTACAAGTACTTAATGTGTGCATAGCCCCATATTAGGTTCAATAGAGAGATCAAGGGAATAAAAGACAGGCCTTGCAATTTAACATTAGAGGGAAAAAAATGACAATATATGACCAGGCACCCATAGGATCTGTAGCTGATAGAGGCCATTGGACCTCCCAGAAGGGAGAGATGTGAGTTGTCCTGTGAAGATGCTATGATTATTATACCCATTTTACAGATGGGAAAATTGGGACTTACAATGCTTAATCAGTTTGCTCAAAGTGACACCACTAAGTAAGTGGCAAAATGGGGACTCTTTACTAGTAACCTGAGTCACTGGCTTGCCACTTAAATGCTGGTAATCTCAGGGTTCCCCTGCTCTCTGTCTTCTCTGTCTTCCATCCCAGGGCTTCGGGAACCATTGCTAGCTGTTGACTTCCAGTTTCAGTATTTTTACCCACCACCTCTTTTTAAAATCCCATAAGCGTATTCTGAATTCCATAGCCATAATGACTCTACGTGTCCAAATCTTAACGTGTTCATGTTTCTTTACGGTTGTTCCTCATTCTGTGTTCCCTCTCTGGGGAATCGACCAAAATAATTAAGAAATAGTCACCTGGAGTCAGTCTCAATTCCTGTCCCCTCCTCCTTCATCCCCTGTCTCCAGTGGCTCCAGGGCCCTGTTGATGCAGTGACTTCTCTCTCTCTTGAATCCATGCATTTTTTTCTTCTCCTTCTGTTTTAGTTCAGGCCTCAAAATTTCCTCCTTGGGTTAACATGGGAGTTTCTGCCTCAGAGTTTCTCTAATATCCATTCATCCTCCACTCTGTAATCGGAGTAATCTTTATAACTAAAAATCCAATGAATATTTACTTTCTTGCTTGCAATCCTGTATTGGTGCCCTACCTGCAACATAAAGTCCGGGCTCTTAGCGTGTGGCTAACAGTCTGTCACAGCCTGACCTCACCTACCTTTCTGGTTGAATCTCTTAACTTTTTTCCCAAACGAATGAAAATCTGCAGACACAGCAAGCTTTGTGTCCAGTCATGGCCAAGGTCTTTTATGCTTCTGCCTTTACGCATCTGGAATCTCCTTTTCTCACTGACTGTGAGTGAGTTCTTATTCTTTTGAAAAGTCCCTCCAATGTCAAAGTCTCCATGAAGCCTACAACACACTGCACATGTGTGTTAGCAGCTCCCTTGGGACCTTGTAATTATTTATTAAGACATCTGTCTTTCCCTCAAAGCTCACTAGCTGAGGGTCCCAGAGCCTGGCATAAACTGGACAGTTTTTGAATGATAAAATGACCAAGATTTTGCGTTTGGAAGTTGTGTTAATTTTCTATTGTCACTTTAACATATTCCCACAGATGCCATGACTTAAACAATGCACATTTATTATCTGACAGTTCTAGAGGTCAGAAGTCTGAAATGAGTCTTACTGGGTGCTATGTGTTGAATTATATCTCCTCTTTCTTTTCTTAAGTCTTTGTTTCCTCATCTGTGAAGTAAGGACAGTAATGCTCACCTGTCACCGGTCAGGGATGTGTGTGTGTGTAGGGGTAGTGTATTAAATAAGAAGAACATGAAAACGTGTATCATTGCATTTATTAGCTGGCCTACAGCAAGAATTTGTTTCCTTTTCTTCCTGCTGAG